GCAAAGCTACGCCAACGGTTCGCAAATCTACGGCGGGAGACCTTGTACTGAGAAGAACCGGCAAGAAACTCAGCAAGGGCTATTTATTTCTCCCTGTATTGTATACAGAGTCGTCAAATTGAAAAATGACTTCAATATGAGGTAACTCATAAAGATATAGATTATAATTATTGCAATGACAGTATATTAATTTGATTCTCATTCCTAATTCTAATTTACCAACTTCAAAGTTTACTGTATTAAAGGTTTGTAGTATACAATCTAAAAACTTTGAAAAATATCAAGCCTCTATATTGCAAACTTTTTATAACCTGTATTAATAGGCACAACACAACTATACGAGTGCCGGTTGCACACGTCACATCCTCTTAACGGATAGAACTCGATTTCTAAACTAACAAACTGGATATATGGAGCATTCTACCGGAAGAACTAATCGCTTATGAGTAGGTAACCAAATAGTTGCTTCACTTTAACACTTTTTTGGTTTCCGGACTTATGAGAAAAATATTAAGTTTCTTTTCTTTCAGTCTTTTATCAAATGAAGGAGATCGATGGGCGGGTGATTAGCGCGTTTGGCTGCGATCGTGGAAGTTAAGCAACTTTCGCAGTGGTTGGTCACTGGATGGGTGATCAAAAATCTTCTATCTCGTAATCCTCCGTGCTTCGGAAGGCACGTTAAGCTGTTGGTCCTGGCTGCATCTGCAGTCGCTAGCACACGCCAATTCGCACTGGGCCCGCGTGGTGGCTCATGGTCCAATCTCCCTATTCCATCCATAGGGAAGGCCTGCACCCCAGCAGTGAGGACATTAATAGGCTGACGATGATGATTATCAAATTTCCGAGAGTCTCATACACGCTAAGTAACACAACTTTTGGAGGTGTGAAATGTATAAAAGTTGCGAAAACAAGGTAAAATATTGATGTATCCCATGATGCTATGTACGCTATGTAGTTATAGATACATACATATATATATATATATAGCCGCGGCTACACTTCACGAAAACTTGTTAATATTTTACGTTTTTCCAGACAAAAGCCTTTAGCATGTTTTTAATATAGTACACAAATTACAGGCAAACTATTAGAGTCAAGAAAAACTTGTCATTTCATTCGCAAGTACAGTTTTAAAGACATTAATGTAAAAATATTTAGTGATTACTTATTTTGACAGGTGCTGACACATTTGACACGTGGAGGCTTAGAGGGAGATGTAATCCGCTTTATGCACAATGATATTGTTCATGCACGAGAGTGAAAGAGGCCACTTTAGTTCGCTTTATTGGCGGCTGTTGTCAAGGGAAGTTGGGGCGGGGACTACTTTTGCTATTTTAAAATTCAATAATGTTGACGTATAACCTGTCTATATATTATTCGTAATTGGATGTATCATTCATTATTTCCATATCAACAAAACAAAGATTTCTCTTTAGTTTTGAAGCTGCTACTAATCAGATAATAGCGAAACAAAAATGTTTGCAAATTAATTAGGTGAAAAAGGACCAAAAAAATTAATACTTTGTTTTGTTTGTTATGTTAATATGATGGTAACTTAAACTTTACTTAAGTATTATGTGTAGTTCAGTATTTTTTATTGCACTTTATTACATTTCGTTTCAAGCATTGTGTAGGTATAGTCTTAAAACCCTTTTTATTTTATTCAAAGGGTATAGTATAAATGGTAGTCATTCGATTTTAGGTTCTGTTGGTAAAACCGATCGATTGCACCGATTGAGTAATCGGACATTTATATCGATGCAACCTGATAGCCTTGAATCGAAACAAAATTGGAAAGACATTGGAAGAAATAAAAACACTCAAAACATTGCAATTATAAACTACGAAATTTAAGAACAATAGGTACAATTTTACCGAGAGCCGTTGACTACGTGACGGTCAAAACGACACTACTAAGGCACTTGTGAACAAGACAATTTCAACCCGGCTGTAGGCTGTGTCTACGACCGATCGTTAACGACCGGCGCTAGTCACAATTTGAGGTCAGTAGAAACGTACAAACTGTGCTCGTGAACAAGCTTAGCTGCCTCTAGTTATCACACGTCGGCCCTCCCATCCTCCACTCACAGGTCTCTCCAATTCCGTCGGCCTAAGCACAATACATCTTAGAATACCCCGACGACGAAATCACCCGCGCCAACGCGCCCCCACCTTCTCCCATACAGTCCACAAACACGAACACAGCAGCTACCAAACTTGCACACTAGCTTAGCATTAGGCAGACAATGCACCCGTAGGATAAGAGTGTGAAGACCCGGAGTCGTATTTTTTATTCGCTCGCCTGACATAGTATCGTCAAATGCGACTCAAGTCACTTTCGACTTCCAAGTCACTTGTTACTGATTTTCCGTATTTTTGAATCGTTCATCTAGAGTCTTCATCTTCTACAGAGAGAAAAACTTTTAAATATCTGACAAAAATTTGACAGTTATTCTACCATTCGCCTCCATCATTCGCCAACTCGCGTAGACTCGACTCGACGTCGAGCGATTCAAAAATACGGATTTTATCATGTCGAATCAAATCAAAGTATAAATCGAGCGTTCGACGCAAGACGAGTGATTCAAAAATAGAGCTCCAAGTCTACACACGACACGCTATACCAGGTACGAAAACGTACCTGCCCCCCCAAAGAGCACCGCGATATGATATATGACGCGTTCTTATCACACTCAATTGTCAAATTGTTATGGAATTTGACAGTAAGATGGGATAAAAAACGTGATTTAATGTAAATCGTAGTGCTCATGCTACAGGGGCTGAGCAATTTTCCCCGCCCCCCACGACAACGGCTAACTAGGGCCGAGGTCCGAGTCTCAAAGACGCCCTCTATTTGAGCCGATCCCCTGAGTTCGAGTGGTCTAGAGGCACCAGACGGAGAGAAGACTCCCCCCATAGAGAGATGCCATCCGACTTTAATACCTTTAAAGGCGTTCGCCTATTCTCGGCTTGAGGTCCTCTAAGGATCTCGCCGTCACAAACCCGGTGACGCTGTAAAGGTCTCCTGCGACTGCGAAAAAAAATCTAGGTAGAAATTGTCTCGTGACTTGCTCGTTATCAACCGCCCTTAGACTATAAAATGCATCAAAAAATAAGGAATTTAATTTTGAAATTTATATACACGGTAAAGTGTTCTATGTTTTAATGAGACGTTGTTTTTGGAATATAAAAATAACATGTCCTATATATTGCTATTCTATGTTTTATCATGAATTATTATAAATTCAAACACACATACAGACACTACACATTTTAAATAATATCTTTTCATATGGAGATTCTATTTTAGATTTCGTTAACTATGGTTTTAATAAACCATGTTAACCATGTAAACAAGACAGATACTTAATCACGCTCAGTTGCTCCCAAATTTCGTGGCCATAACACAAATTTTTCAATTTGACTAAACACTATTCTCTGGCAATGATATTCGTCCGTCAGAGTACAATGGGCACCGTGTGAAGCGAACCGGCCCACTGGAGCGAAACATCACTAGATTCTCACCTACCATTTTCTTTTCTTTCTTCACAATTTGTGGGTTACCTACAATGCGAAGAGATGGCGCTGCCTTGCAGCTTAAGGCTAGGAAAATTTCGACGCGGCGAATAGGGCCGTGGTAGCATAATGGTCAGTGCATTCGCCCGGATTGCGAAGGGTGCGGGTTCGAGTCCCGTCCGCTGCCTGGTCCGCGTGGATTTTTTTCTAGTAAACTTTTCTTTAATTTCTGTAGTTGTTCTATCTAAATACAGATTAGTTTATCGAATCTCGTCAGCATCATCCACGTTGTGATTGGATTGTATTTTTGAAGTAAAACTTCTTTACGCACGCTTGACTAGGGGAGTAAGCTGGCGAACGCGTTACGAAAACTGTGATCGGGCGAGGCGAACGGGAGTTTACTGGGGGATATAAGCAAGAATCATATATATCAGATAGAGCTAAAGAATTTTCGCTACAGTCGTGTGTTCATAACACACTCGTTTTTTTTTTCCAATTTGTTGTTTTTCGTATTCGAATGAACTTCGCACGTTTTTGCCTCGTGACCATAGATATTAAGACAGGTAGAGATTAAGATAGGTAAAGCGCAACGAATTTTCTGCTCGAATTGGAGAGCCAGTTTGGGGAAGCAATCTCCACTTTACAGAGAGTCACAGTTATATAATATCTGCTGGTTAGTAAGCTTCCAGGTCTCAAGGTTCAGGCCGACAAGGTGAAGTTTGCTGGAGCGGTACACTTTCTGCCGCATCAAACATCTTCGCGATTGGACTCCTTACTTAATATCAGGTGTAGTGGGGTAATTTGTTGCGCCGCGTAAAAAAATATATCATTAAACTGAGCTCGTGAGTCGCAACACAGAGACATAATATCATCATAATATTGAATATACTTATACCGATCTCTTTCCTGCACCGTTAATAACTTATAAAAATATATCATTAAACTGAGCTCGTGAGTCGCAACACAGAGACACAATGATGTCGATTCTGGCATGATTCTCTAAAGCTAAACTTAAATTTGACAACAGTGCATCCCTGTCATTCTCTATACAGATTGAAAAGGAGAGACTGATGTTAAATTTGGTTTTAAGAGAATCACGCCAGAATCGACACCAATATCATCATAATATTCAATATACTTATACCGATCTCTTTGGTGCACCGTTAATAACTTACGTAATTTGAATTACCTACTCAATGAAAAAGTCGTAACGACTGTAATATCGAGTGATTGAAGTACAGTTTTTGTTCAACATTGATATCGGATATCAAAAAGTCGGAACTCAAGTTTCTACTCAGATATGTTCTCAGCTTCCATTGCACGTAACATAGGAAGTGTCAACCATACATACGGAGATGTTACGCCACCACCGCCCGTCACGAGACTACGAGTGTTTTTCCTTTTAATTAATCACTTCGCGAGATAAAATAGAATTGATTTTATCTTATCGTTGTTTACACATTTGGATGGTTGGTGTTTCGCAGGCGTGAGGAGTGCGTCTGGCGGAGTGCGTGTGGATCGGTGCGCCTGGGCGGGTGCGTCTGGTGCGTCTGGAAGGTCTGGGAAGGTCTGGTCGCCGGCGCGATGGGAAGATGGCTAAGCCTTGGCCTTTTGGCCCTCCTGACGATCCATGACCTCGTCGATGGACAGGGCGCGGAGAAACGTGAGTCGCTTTGCTACATCTTTGGTTTGAATTTGAACTTTGACCTTAAACCTTGGTAGATTTTCTCGATTATAGTATTTATGTCTACAAAGAATTTTTTTCAAAACTATTAAGTGTTCAGTTACAGAGGATAGTTAATTTTATATTTTGGGAAAAGAATATAAAGTAACTTCTTATCTAATATATAAAATTCTCGTGTCGCGGTGTTTGTGGTTAAACTCCTCCGAAACGGCTCGACCGATTTTCGTGAAATTTTATATGCATATTCAGTAGGTCTGAGAATCGGATGTAATCTATTTTTCATCCCCCTAAATGTTAAAGGTAATCCAACCCTAATATTTTTTTTTATTTTATATATATATTTTTTTATTTTTTTATGTTACATCATACAAAAATACAAACAACCCTAAATTTTCGCCCTTCTACCACCAACCCCTATTTTTTTATGGCGGTACGAAGTTCGCTGGGTCAGCTAGTATTTTATAAAGTTGGCAATACTGTATAACGAATCGGTATCGAAGTTTAGTAAATTCTGCTTAATAAGTATATTATTCTTGTAAGGTTAGCTACAGTCGACTTACCTATTGTCTGATATCTAGTGTAGCGTTAACAGTATTTTAATGCAGCCATTAATTCAAGTAATGCCTTTTTTATAAGAGCAATATTCACAAATAAGTCTTGTTAATTTGGGAAAAAAAAAAGTTCAATTGAAAACAAATTGCAACCTTTTTTTGTACCCCTACAAAAAAAATTCTTTGCTCTTCGAAAGAATTGCCCACCGTGAAAAATAAAATTTAAAAACAAAACAAATCCTTAAGAAATCATTTTCTTACATAATCTAACGTCTTAAAACTAAGGTTTATGACGACGCGACGTAAGTCACGGGATTGACAAAGACCGTCACCTAAGGCTTTCTGTTCAATAATGAACTTTTTGGAATATTGAAAAGTGTAATTATGCTTTCAACTTGCTATTTTTATTTACTATCAATAGGCGCAGATTAAAATGTAGAACTACTTCTAAATATATTATTAAGTAAAAATCTCGTGTTACAGTGTTTGTTACCGAACTCTTCCGAAAGGGCTTCTCACCGATTTTTATGATTTTTTTGTGTAAGCCTTGAGGATAAGACGTAGGCTATTTTTAATGTAGGTGATACGAGTCTTTTTTTTATATATTTTGCACACGTCTGTCAATAACATTCAATCGAGCTTGCGAGACAGAACTCTACGCTTCAACACAGCGCGAACGAAATAGAGTCCGCACGGCTGAGCTGTATTGTTATCCTTTTCTTGATAACAAAATGGCGTTTACGTAAATAACATTCACGACTAACCGTATTTTTGATGACCTCCGTGGCCGAATGGTTTATACGCCGGGTTTCATGGCGTCGCCGACTCGAGAGGTCCCGGGTTCGAATCCCGGTGGGGGCAGATGTTTGTGTGATGAATACGAGCATTTGTACTCCAGTCATGGATGTTTAATATGTATTTCATATAAATATACTTATATATGTACAATATATGTATTCTATCCGTTACCCTAGTATCCCATAACACAAGCCTTTACAGTGCTTACTTTGGGGCTAGGCTAATGGGTGTGAGTGTTGGAAATACTTATTTATTATTTATTTATTTTGAGAAAAAATGTTTTTACAGTTTTACTAATGAAAAGTTGTTATTTTCAAATATTTGTGTTCTTTATAAAAGCATCGAAGGCAATGTTTTATCTTTATAACACAGAATATTCTTATATTGAGTGCACATGAAGCGTGTTTTAATATCCAATTGTGACTAAAGTGAATTGTGGTCATGCACCTCAATTTAAGCGGATCACTTTTGAGCCGTGAGTGCTGTATCTTCCCTTTTGTTTTAATCTAAGTTGATATCTAATATCGTAGCATACGTAAACATCATGCTGAGCAAAAAGATCGATTGAGTCATCGATTACATTATTTCCTCATTTATCTGTAACTCAAGCGTGGAGATGTTGCGTGCTGATAATAATAATAGTGAAAGGTGTTTCCCACAATCGATCATTCGGTAAAAATGAAATATAATAATGCTGATTGCATGGTAAAGTTGAAACAATAACCATTTTGATAAGACTTTTTTTATGCCTAAAAGGTTTGGTCTAAAGTTACAAGAAAAAACTTAGAAGTATCTAAGGAAGTACACGTAAGGATAACTCTATTGTGCAAACTTTATTATCATAATTAAAACCAAGTTTTATTTCACTATTCCTCTATACTTTTCACTCTTTTTGGCAGTCATGTAATTACATTTTAATGATGTTATTGTCGAATGTCCACTGTCCGCGTGGTGGGTCATGGCCCAATCTCCTTATTTGAATCCATAGGGAAGGCCTGTGCTCCAGCAGTGGGGACGTTAATAGGCTGATGATGATGATTAATCTGTCAGTGAGTAAATATCAAAAGCAGATGCAACAATTGATAAGAAATCCAAGAAGAATACAAAACTTTTAAGAAACTGTATACAAAAGTATTCATGACTTCATGAGTTATTTCATATTGAAGTCATTTTTTAATTTGACAACTCTGTATATAATACAGTATGAATTAAAACAGCCCTTTCTGAGTTTCTTGCCGGTTCTTCTCAGTACAAGGTCTCTCGCCTTAAATTTGCGAACCGATGGCGGAGCTTTTCGACATTCACAAGTGCTTGTAATAGCCTAGACTGACTAAAAGATACTGAATTTTTATTTTTGGAAGCCTTTACATTAAAGCAAAAACCTTAATTGTTTCCAAGAAATTTTCGGGAATGTAAATCTACATAATTTTTTTTTTATAAATGTATTTTTTTTAAATAAATAGAATGTATTTGTTTCTTAGGTTTTCACGCACATCACTCATTAAATAAAACTAGTTTTTCACGGGTTAATGCACGAAAACTTTATTTAATTATTGACGTTTCGTAGCCTTTACAGGCTACGTCGTCGGAATCAAATTTTTATTTAATTTTGTCGAGCTACCTTACTAAAGACTTTAGTCTTCTGTCGAAAGACAAAACCCGGAAAGACTTTTGTCTTTCGAAGGTAAAATTTGATTCCGACGACACACGTAGCCTGTAAAGGCTACGAAACGTCAATAATTCAATAAAGTTTTCGTGCATTAACCCGTGAAAAACTAGTTTTAATTAAATAGAATGTGTTAAAATGTAAAAAACGCATTCTATTATATAATCTGAAAATTAATAATATTAGATTTTTGAAAGAGACAAACATTTGCTCGTGTGTTTGTTATTACTTAGGAACATAAGATTTTTCACATCACGTTCTTGCGCGTGCATGGCAATTTTCGAAATTGTGTGTGACTTATCTTTCCATCCGTTATTTTCTCGAAATCATTGTGCTTACTTGAGCAAGATTACTTTTTCATCTCATAAGTGAACTACCATATAGCTACGCATTACGTTAGATTGCTTTAACTATGTATGTTAACATAATGTCGCAAATTTAGTCCAACAAACGGTTACATGCGAGACGCCGATTACAACATAACAATTCAATTCCGTTCAATTTATTTGCATGGTATTTTTAGGTGACAATTTATATTTTTTTTGAGGGGAATTTAAATATTTTTATCACCTAAGAATACCTTTGGTAACCTAAACTTTAGGTAAGGTTACCAATGGTATTTTTAGGTTTTTAGGTGATCATTTATAATTTTTTTTAGGTCATTTAAATATTTCTCTGTTAAAATTACATATTCATTATACAAAAAATAGTGCCCACACAAGCTTGTTCTTGTACGTAAAACAACAACAACAAGCATTTTTGCAGGCCAGCAAGGTGAGGATGGTTGATCTAGCAGTTTTTATAAACTGCTAGATCAACCATTACAGCAGTTATCTGCTGTACCGGCTATCTTCGCGTTTGGACTTTACCACCACTTAACATCAGGTGGGGTAGAGTGACTTGCCTACCTCGATATAAAAAAATAATAAAAAAAACATCGGCCTAACTAAGAACAGGTAATTTCAATTCGTTAAGCATGCAATTCTACATCATAATAGCTGTACGTCAAAAAATAATCCATAACTATCCAAACTGACGGCGCTAACCACTTCCGCTATCGGGCGCCTGCCGAGCTTGATGGCGCAAGTGGTTAGCGCGTTCGGCTGGGATCGTTGAAGTTAAGCAACTTTCGCAGTGGTCGGTCTTTGGATGGGTGACCATAAAATTTACCATCTAGAGCTCCATGCTTCGGAAGGCACGTTAAGCCGTTGGTCCCGGCTGCATCTGCAGTCGTTAGCACCCACCAATCCACACTGGGCCCGCGTGTTGGATCATGGCCCAATCTCCCTATTACATCCATAGGGAAGGCCTGTGCCCCAGAAGTAGGGACATTAATAGGCTGATGATGATCCAAACTTACATCCTAATAATTATTATAAACTATAGCAGCCGCCCGCGACTTCTTCCGCGTTAACTACAGTTTTTTAAGTATCCCACAGCTATCTAACATTATTCCGGGATAGAGAGTATTCTATGTCTCAACCCAGGTCATAAACTATATGCGTACCAAATTTTATCCAAATCCGTTCAGTAATTCTTGCGTGACTGAGTTACAAACGTACAAACTTTCACATTTATAATGTATATACTAGCTGTGTCTCGCGGTGTTACTCGCGGTTTAATGGGATATTTTTCCACAGTTAAACGTAGCCTATGTGTTAATCCAGGGTGTCAGCTAACTCCATACCAAATTTTATTAAAATCGCTCTAGCCGTTTATTTATTTATTCATTGCATATCACATTTACAAAAATAAGGTGGTACATAAGAAATACAGTAACCATGTGACGCCGCAAGGGCACAGCAACTTTAGAGGGTTATTATCTATTTAAAATTGTACCTAAAAAAATTTATTTTAAAAAAGTTTATAAAGTAAGTATTAGTGTGATTAGAAGGATTCTAACGTAAATCTTTGTCAGTTACACTTAATCTCAAAAAGTTCGAATCGATTTTGATGAAGATTGC